TATAGAGTTTGGGATATACTCACCGTATAGAAAGTATACCAGAGAGAGAGAGAGAGACCAGGAATGCTTGCTTACTTGATTTGACCAATATTTCATGAAGTATTTTGCCCTATTTAGATTGTGCTTGTTGCTGTTGTGTGTCTTCATTTCTAACTAATAGCGACCCTAAAGTGAACCTATCCTGGAGTTTTCTTGGCAAGATTTGTTCAGAGAGGGTTTGCCATTGCCTTCATCTAAGGCTGAGAACATGTGACTCATCTAAGGTCACCCAGTCGGTTTCATGGCAGAGCAGAGAATTGAACCCTGGTCACCAGAATCCTAGTCCAACATTGAAACCACTGCGCCACATCTTTATTTCATTTCATATTTTACTGTTGTAGCCACTTGGAGCATTACTGAATAGAAAACCTTTCCCACTTTAGAAAGCCCATTAATGGAAAAGATGCTACTTCAAAAATGTATAATTTGTTCACCCATTTAACTTGTAAGTTTGGGACAGTCACAGTGGAATACACCAAGGACCAGTGTCTTGGCTGCTTCGAGCAGCCTTGCCTCACAACCTGCAAATCTAGGAAATGTCAAATTAACAATCTGTAAACTGCTCTGAGAGCTTATGTGGCTGCAAAGCAGAGTATCTAACCAAATAAATAAGGCACTTCAACATAAGGTTGTTGTTTTTAAAACTACAGCCTCAAATTGTATTTTCCAAACACAATAAAGGGTGGGTTTGAAAGCATGTTTATTCCTCTGACTTGTTTGGGAGATGACAGTTCAAAATTCACTGCAACAATGAAGTTCTATTAACTTGTCCTATCAAACCCTGTAAGGAGAGAAACCAAACTAAGGGGGCACATACGCTATAGAAATAATGCAGCTGGACACCACTTTAATAGCCATAGCTCCACCTTACAGAATCCTATGATGTCTAGTTTTGTGAGGCACCAACACTCTTTGCCAGAGAAGGCTAAACACATTGTAAAACTATAAATCTCAGGATCCCATAGAATGCAGCTACAGCAGTTAAAGTGGTGTCAAACGGTATCATTTCTACAGTGT